ATCAGGTCTTTGGTGAGTGGATCAGGTCTTTGTTTGTTAGATCAGATTTTTGTTTGGTAGATCAGGTCTTTGTTTGTTAGATCAGGTCTTTGGTGAGTGGATCAGGTCTTTGTTTGGTAGATCAGGTCTTTGGTGAGTGGATCAGGTCTTTGTTTGGTAGATCAGGTCTTTGTTTGGTAGATCAGGTCTTTGGTGAGTTGATCAGGTCTTTGTTTGGTAGATCAGGTCTTTGGTGAGTGGATCAGGTCTTTGTTTGGTAGATCAGGTCTTTGGTGAGTGGATCAGGTCTTTGTTTGTTAGATCAGATCTTTGTTTGGTAGATCAGGTCTTTGGTGAGTGGATCAGGTCTTTGTTTGGTAGATCAGGTCTTTGGTGAGTGGATCACGTTTGCAGACTCATTCCTGGTGGTTCTGCTCAGAAGTACAGTGTGGGGTCACTGCGATCACACATCTGGATGTGGACATGTGAAGTGATTCCTGGGTAGACCGTTTGCATGGGCAGCATGGTTCCGATCTGTTCTCCCTTCTTGACAGACCCAGAGGTCTTGTATGGTCTAACGTAGAACAGCTTAAAGCAGAGACCTGCAGGAGGTGAGACATAACCTGTTAGAGACTGGAACATAAGCAGGATGGATCAGCTGAGCAGAGATAGACCCATGGACCGACCCTGTCCACTCAGGTTGATGCCCTCGTTGATGGCCTCCTTGCTCTGGTCTCTGTAGACCGTCAGTTTTCCGTTCAGAGTCACATCAAATGGAGCCAGGACCGTAGATCCATCACTACAGATGATGTCCAGACCCTTATGGACCCTGGTATCTCTGAAACCATCAGACATGGACCACACGTTCAGGTTCCACTCAGCTGATCTGCAGAACAAGAGAACCGTGTCTCACCGAGTGGCTCCGTAGTGTCCCTGTCCCCAGCTGTCCGACGTCCGTCGTCTGTTGGTCGGGTTTCCACTGCAGAGCGGCCCGAAGCGCACGGCCGCGCTCACACACAGAACCGCTGGACACACACACGGTAACACACACATTAACACACACATTAACACACACATTAACACACACACACATTAACACACACACATTAACACACGGTAACACACACATTAACACACACACATTAACACACACACACATTAACACACACACATTAACACACGGTAACACACACATTAACACACACACACACACATTAACACA